CCTCTAACTTCAGTTTCCAACCTGACATGAAGTATTTGCTAACTATAATATATAGTTATATGTCATAAAACTATGGAGAATGAAAACAGAAAGGTTGATTTATGTCTTAACAGCAAATGGAAGGTTGATGAAATGTTTAGCTTTTCATCGAAACAGAATTGGGCTAGATTCACAGTCTCTATTTTGGAAAATTAAATGATGCATGGCACATAAATATTATGATTGAGGTCCCTGATGTGGTAGTTTGATTAATTTGTCTACTGGTTTCTTTTTTTTTTTTTTTTTGGTAGACTCTACTTGGATATACAGGTCTTCTTAATGGTGGAAGGCAATTGAATCATGAAATAGTTAAAACAAGTTTCCCATATCTTGATATAAACTTGTGATTATTGGCTAACAACCCTCTATGTCTTTCAGGAGTGAAATGGGCAACAGAATGTTATTTTGTGCATTTCTTTTAATGAAACTTTGAGTGAAATACTTTAACATGATTGCTCAGATCATCGTTGAATATGGCAATCTTGTTTTAATAATAAAAAACTCCCCTAACAAAGGACAAAAGTCATCGTACATAACTCTTCATTATTCATATGAAGTGCCACGATCTCTTGTGATAACGAGGTAATGGAATCACAAAGGAAATTTAATAAATAACGTTGACAAGCAACTAGATCTTGAACGACTGTGACTCGAAATACGTAGACTGCAGTAGAGGTGCAGGTACACAACTATTCTGCTTGTATTTTTTTTCCAAAGGTCTATGATTTGTTGGCTTACTTTTGTCTAAGGCCCTTGTAGAGGCTTTCCTTGTCCTCGTCCTCAAGTACAAAAGGCCATTATGTATGGCTCAGTTAATAACATTGTCTTCAAACAAAAGGTCTCTGTAATTATTAACTAAATATGGTCAGTTTTCTGTCTAAATAATTAACAAAATCAAACCATTGTTTTAATATTGTATCAAACTCTACTCTTTCGCTTCCAGTAGTCTTTGATGTTGTTGTTGAACTTGAACAATTCATTGAAACCAAAAGTCCGAACAACTGAACAACTCTTTTGCTTTTAATATCTCGAAGTCCTTAGATATAAAAAGCTTTAGAGCAATTAGAAATACCTTGGAGATGGTCATTTCAAAGGACTTTCCTCATCATTATTCTCAGGTATGCAGTAGGACGATATTTGCATGGCTTTTGCATTTGAGAATTCTTGTTAAAGAATTCTCATCCTCAAAAGAATGAGAATGAGAATTCTCATCCTCAAAAAGAAGGTCTCTGTAACCAGGGAATAAGAATGGTCCATTTTTCTGCATAAATGAGTAACAAAATTGGATCACAGTTACAATTTTGCTTGGTGTTACTCTTTCACCTGCAATAGCCTCGAATATTTTTATTGAACTTGAACAAATGCATTTTCAAGGTGTTCTATGGTAATCTGAAATAAATAGAAGTTCCTTGGAGAGATGGTCCTTTCACATGTCTTTCCTCAACCTCAGGTACACAGGACGATTGTGCAAGGCTTTTAGGATTCTTGGACTTGATCTTTGTTTAACAGGAGGTCTCTGTAGCCATGAAATAAGTATGATCAGTTTTTCTGCATAAATGAGTAACGAAATGGAATTACAGTTATAATATTGATTGGTCTTACTCTTTCACCTCCAATAGCCTCGGATGTTTTTGTTAAACTTGAACAATTCATTTTCAAGTTGCTCTATGGTACTATCTGAAATAAATCATCATCATTTCTTTAGTAGAGATTTTAAATTTCCAAAACAAATCGTTTAGACTTTTTTACTATAATCAGTGACTGTTTTTTGATAATTTGACGTGTACATGAGAAACTTGTTTTAAATAATAATAAAAGGTTTTACAATCGTAAAAAGGCGATTTAGAAAAGAGTTAAAGTGATTAGAAGTTCCTTGGAGATGGTCCTTTCACATTTTCTTCTTCAACCTAATGTACACAGGACGATTGTGCAAGGCTTTTAGGATTCGTGGACTTGATCTTTGTTTAGCAGGAGGTCTCTGTAACCATCATGAAATAAGTACGGTCAGTTTTTCTGCATAAATGGAGTAATAAAATCAAACCATATTTTTATATAATTAATTGAGGACTTATTCTTTTGTTCTCATTGTTCTTTGACATTTTTGGGTTAGGATCAGACCAGAGAAATCTTTTCCCACGTGTCCAAAGACACTTTGTAACAAAAGAAATTTCCAACCTGGGCACTTCTTACATTAATCCATAAATAAACATGCCATGTCTTTTTTTTTTCCCCTTTTCAAACTGTCGCTCTAGTAAATACTTTGTCATGCTATTCCTTGAAACGCTTTATTACACGTACATCTCATGGCATCCAGTTCTAGTAAAGCTGTTCTTTTGGACTGAGCTTCATTTTTTTTTTCCAGCAATGTACAATCGTACTTATACTTAGCAGCTGATTTTGCAGAATTACAAGGGGAAGGTATAACCTTATATAAATTAATTAAGGCTTTCATGATAGTTCCATAGGTTACGCTTGGCACCATATGAGGGCTGGATGTATATATGCATTGAGAAGTTTAATAAACTCCGTTTTATATAAAAAGACATTAAAGTCTTTAAAAATATATAAATACAAAATAGTAAGTTAATATAGTATAAACAAAAGGAAAAAAATATTGCTAAAGGGATAATATGAATAATATGAATAGAAAATAAACTTAGAAGGATAATTTTATAGAAAACGATAATATGCATCGTAGACTTTGCATCATAGACCTTACATCCACTTCAAGGTTTGATTGTTTTACTTTCCTTGCACTTGTCTCGGGGTGATTCCAGGAACAATAAGTTTTGCACACATATGCCTTTTATTTCTTAGTAAATTCATCTGACACAAAACAACTGGTCACATCGATTTGTTGCTGTGGTTGCTGTTGTTGTTGTTGTTTTGCTCAAAAAGGCTATCAAGGTTTGATGATAGTCCAACACCACATGGATCACCTTTAGAAGTCCCACTAGCTCTTAATGCATCTTTACTTTGAAGAATTACGTGTGCCATTTATGTGGCCATTATTTTTTCACTCACATGGCTTTGGGAAATGCAAGAAATGTCTTTGGTGCCATAATTTCTTTCGAGCTGTGGCCCAAGGGACAAGAAATGGAATGTTCACCTTGGAATTTTTACCTTTCTTGAACCTTGGATCACATCATTTTTGGCAATTGTCACACTTTCTTTGTATTCAACCCTGAACAGAATACAAACATAAATTACAACTTGCTGTACGAAACRTGTCATCCTGGATGCCTCTTTGTAAGAAGGAAGGAAAAGTACGTCATTTGAGGAGAATGAAATTACATATCTGTATATTTTTTTATAGAAAAAGCCTCCTCATGTAATATTTAAAAAGCAAAAAATGTAGAGAATGATATTATGGTATAACTCTGCCTTCCAGTATCCATGTCGAGTGGCTATGCCTTCTGGAATTCTGCCATCCTTGAGAAATTATAGAAAAATTACACATACCCGTAATATTATATTAGAAAAAATATCTAAATATTTTTTTATTATTGAAAAGTCGATGTTATCTTCTTAGTGTCTGGAGCAGTCGAGGTACAAGGAGCAAAAGCGAAATGACTTTTAATTCTCTCCACCCAGTAATTTTCCTTTTCTTTATAAGTAAGTTTGTAGTGCATGTGTAATTGTTTCAATTCTGGTTTAGTAAGGGAAGACAGATTTACTGTTTTTACTTATTCCTTCCAGTCATAGTCATTAAACGACTTTGCCTTTTTCCTTAACTTCTTTCTTTGTTTTTCGCCTGGGAACAAGCATTCAGTTCTTCCAAGTGTTGAACATACCCTTTGGTGTATTCTTAGTCAACAATATATTTCTATTTCTTTGCTCTTATTAGGATACTGATTAGCTTATTGATATCTTTTTTATCAGCAAACAAATTTGCTCTTGGAGCAAATTGATGGACAGGTCACAGTTGACCAGTGGGTATGGTGTTGGATGTTTTGAAGATGTTTTTCTGTGCCCTTGCTTCTCCTGATTAGGAAAATAAGGAAGCTGATAGGGGTCACGAATTTTTAGGGTCGCGTCACAGAAACAAATTGTTGTGAACAAGGTGTCGGAAACAAGTTGTCCCAAGCAATTTGTCAGCAACAAGTTTTCCGGAACAGGTTGTCCAGAACAAGTCGTCCGGAACAAGTTGTTGGGAGCGAGTTCTCCGAAACGAGTTGACAGGTACAGTTTGTCAGAAACAAATTGTTGGGGACAGTTTGTGAGGAACAAGTTGTTGGGGACAGTTTGTCAGGAACGAGTTGTCAGGGACAGCTTGTCTGGAATGAGTTGATTGGGACAGTTTGTCAGGAACGAGTTGTCAGGGACAGTTTGTCAGGAAAGAATTGTCAGGGACAGTTTGTTGGGAACAGTGGGAAGCTCTCAACATTTTCTAATGATGCATCCATTCTAAGCCCCCTCCCCTCCTAAGGCGTAAATAATGAACAGTCCCTAACCATTGAAGTTTATCGAATGATCTGTTAAGTATTGGGGGGGAAAAAAATAATAGAAAGAAACCAATAAGACGATGATCATAATAATCGTCTTAGTGCAATTCTCCTAATTTAAATATCCCAATTATATCTTACTGAAATCTTCTAGTGAATTTTACTAGAAAAATTGTACTGGGAATATCGCATAACTGATGATAAATGCGCAAGCTCATTGGCTATAGATGACTTATACATCCGGGTATTTCCCATGGAATATGAAAAAAAATCTTCATTTTTGTTAATGCTTTCCAATCACAACACCAAATAAGCGTGAAAACCAAGGAAAACACGAGTGTAGGTAGAAGTCGAGGGTCGAAGGTAAAAAGTTGAGGGTCCAATAAAAACATCAAACCAAACATAGGTTTTTGTCTCAATCCAAAAAGAGAAGTCCAATAGCGGTATCACATTTATCAAATGCACTAAATATTTTATTCTTACTACATCTTTATACTTTATTCCTTTTAGACTACTCTGTTTTTATGACCTAGCGATTCTATCCCCAATAACCGAAAAAAGCCATTACATCATGAAATAGAGCAACTAGCTTGAAATCATATAAAACAACCTTTATTGTAAAAGGCGCTGAAATACGAGACACAAAAACGCGTAAGTTGTCGCGCAACACTGTTGCCGTGCAAGTTCAAAAACAATGTTGCTCGTTTTACATCCTATCTATCCAACTTGTCACGCAACAAAATCTTTTGTTTCTTTTAACAGTAATCTTTTAACAGAACTCAAATAAGATATATACTATATATGTTCAGAAGTCTCTTGGTCTTTGATTGAATCATGCATAAACAGTCTGCAAACATTTTATGGATCGTTTTCACATTATATAATTAATAGCACTGAACTCACTGAAGTTGATGAATATTACTAGTGTATACTCTCTGTGTATAAGCCCAATAGCTATCAAATCGGTCAAATTTTATTTACTACATCTTTACATTTATTATACCCGAATGATATAGCCCGGCATTCGGGGCTATCCCCAACACAAAACTAGGCCGTTAATACGCCATACTGTTTTTTTCAAGTGACCGAGGGAAATAGAGGGACTTAGCACGCAGTCTAGCTAAATAGAGGTTGGCAGCTTATTTATAAACATAGCAAATTAGTGCAAAACCTCTCTAAATAAAGTTTATAAAATAGTGGTTAGTTGCAACGAAATTCTTCTCTTAGGCGCTTTGACTATAGTAGGTCGCTAGATGAAATTGAGAAATTGGCCGTTTATAGATGGTAGCCATGCATGCAAGGTGCCATGCACTTAAAAATAATAAAAAAAACTTCCACTCTGTCTCGTACAACTCTTAACTTGAACAGCAAAAGGATTTCAAAGGAGGTTCAGAAGTGGATAATAACCGATAAAAACTATTGATATCGTGTACTTGCTGTGAAGGTCCTGGTCTTAGCTTGTAAGGAACGATTGTCTTTACGAATTCCTTCACAGCACAACAAGCTATTTTTTTTTCTTTTTCACGCCATGTTCGCACGCTTTGGAGGTCGATGACTGGCTGCCTTGAAGGAGATTGTACAAGGGATTTTTGTATCCTCATCACCTCAAGAGTTTTCAAATGTGCTCGTTGAACTTGTGCGGGTGCTCTTAGGTCTCTCAACCACGGAGGAGCACTGCGAGCCCTTTCCCGCCCATTCAAACAAAACTCACTAATTTTTTGCCACATTTTGCATCTCATTTCCATGACCGACGATGGCTTGGTGTCTGGATACCAACTGAATGAATATTCCTTGAGGTAAGGTACGTCAAAACTCTGGTTCCACTCTCTCAGTAACAGAGAAGGGGAATTTCTCGATTCGCTGAGTTTCGGTTCTTCGGGCTGGCTATTTATTAAATGAATGCCTTTATCCACTTTGCTTTTGGACGAATAACATCGGTTCACTGGCATTTTGAAGCTCAATGCGATATTTTCTTGTTTTCTAGCTAACGCTGCACTTTTATCAAGTCTTTTGTGAAAATGTTTAGCCATTACCTTTTGCTGACGTTCCGTGTTTATCACTTTATCTCGTGTTTGCTTTTCAAGTGTGTTCAAATATTTATTCAGTCTTTTTTCTTCCATCGCGTTTACTCCAAGGTTGCCGGTTTTAAGCTTGCTTCTGTCTCCCATGATGTTGGCACTTTTTATTCCTTGTGATTGACCTTAGAATTGACTTTAAGTATTATTTTAAAGCTCTTGAAAAATATTACCAGAGACTGATAATTTTACCTGAAATCTTTGGGAATTTCCCCGGACGACGAACATACCTCAGTATTTATCTTAACATTTTGAAAAGTATCCATTTGTTTACCCGCTCATCTCGCTTGTTTTATGATATCCAATTTACGTTTCCATGCCAAATCTTACCGTGTAATTTAACGCTCTTTTATCCGTTTCGTTGTCATTCTTTGAACCAACCAATCGTGTAGCAGTCCTAGTGTAAAACAATGAATCGCTAATCGAAATATTTGACAATAACTATTGGCAGGTGTTGGTCGAGCTGAGGCGTGAGCTTCTTGAATGTCTGCAACTCGCGCACAGGTGTAGTTCTTTCGAAAAGACTAGAACTATAAGTTTGATTAAGCGTATTCTTTCTTTTGCACCGATTAGATTATTTTTACTTTGACGATTGAGTATTATTTGAGGCCAAATATCGTAAAAACTATCGTTATCGTTTGAACAGCATTAGCATTAGTTTTAATATATCATTTGATTAAACGAGACTTCCAGGTTAATTATTCATGAACATCAGTAATTTCAGCAACTTGGTGAGGTTTTCGAGGGCTATATTGTGTAATCGCTCATTGATATTTAATTCATTTATCTAGAGTCAAGATAGGAGAAATCATAATGTTCACTTTCAAGTAATTAAGCTTAAGTGCCGAACTAAGAAAATGAGCCGCTCTTCCTGAATTTCCCTTGTAATTCATATTCTACTTACGTCATAAAAGGCTTTTTTTTCATTTACACAGAAAACGAATGAAAATAGTGAATAACAGTGAAATTTGTAGAATACATAGCGCCATTTCCTTATATAACTCTTGGGGTTTTCGTTATAAAATGACAAATTTGAGCGCTTTTATACTATACTATATATATACTATAACCAGTTGTTAGGCGTAAGGGAATTAGCTAGAAACAGTAAATACAGGTTTTTTTTTTTGCTCAGGGTAAGCCTCGATTTTATGTAAAATATCATCACGTGATCCAGTGAAGGTTTGTGGAATAGATTTCGAATGCTGCATTGTTGTGAATTCTTTACTTTACCCTTGGCATTTGAGAATAATTTGACACTGAAACAAGGTTAACATTGACTAAATGAGTCTGTAAACAAGAACAGAATGGTATTCATCGAGTCCGTAAAGGCCTGTTAGTCTCTTCCCCTGTAGGATAGTTTATGGCCTGTCATATAACTGTCATATATGATTTAGCCAAAAGTTGTTGTTCAGACATTCGTGTTTACGTCACTCCCTACGATTTACTAAACACAATCAAATTATCATTGACCTGGTATGAAACATTTACATGTAAGCGGACAGTCTTTTAAAGATGAATGTTCGTGTAATTTACTGTGCGGACAATCGAACCATGAACACTTCAAGGTTTTTTAAACATTTTTCGAATCATCCAATCAGAAGCCAGACTCTTACCGAGGTTTCATCATTTTTTCGTACGATTCAAGAGTTCCTTGTGTTGTTGTTGCCGTTAAAGTTTAATTTTATTTTAGCTACTTCGTCAATGAAAGATTTTTTTCTGTAAATTATTGAAATCTTACACTTACGTGTCCTAGCAATTCATTAGTTCCATTCACACGGAGTGAAAAAAGACATCTAAAGCGGATTTTCCGCCGTTTGTTGTGATTGGATGGCGCCTAAAAATGTTTGATTCCTTTGTTTCTACAGAGAGTTGTAGTTGAATAGTTATGAAAAAATGTCAAAAAAAACCTTGCAGTGTTCATGGTTCGATGCTGTTCGTGTGTCCGCACTGCAAACAATTTTACAGTGATGTTTTGATATCCAAGGTTCATTACCGTCGATATAAAAAATTGTGAATCAATAGAAGAACGCAAGCTCAGCACCATTAAGGCATGGCTCTTTTGAGGAAGTGATGGAAAATCAGTTATTTATTCATATCTTTGACAGTTTACTATGAATCTTTCCCAA